AGGAAAGAGCGTGAAAAGTTGAGGAAAGGACGCACTGGATGAGGGACAATCGACGTTAAGGCGGGGATGAGCGATGTTCAGTCTTCTCTACCGATAACTGATAGCGCACATTGTCTTGCTGCTCGATCCGTGCGATCTATTTTCCCTCTTTTGCAATCAAGTCTCGCTCCGCGCGACCTGTCCCAGACCTTCCCCGGACCAGTTCTCTACCTACATTTTCCATGGACAAGACTGGATACAGATAAGAGGATTAAAGTGCGATTTACGTGTTTTTAAGCTGCAACGATAAAGGTCGACCTCGCTAAAGTTGCGACCTACCTGCGCCTGATTCGATTAAGCCACGCCTACTGAAAACCATATCAATTGGGCGAAAGTCAATCAGTCATCATAAGCGCTCAGCTTTCGCCCACGACACATAACACCGTTCTCTACGACCTTACACGCTGCAGCTGTGCTAGGGCAGGTAATAACTTCATGTTTGTACTCGTCAACTTGACACACCAGAAGAACGAAGGTGGCTACGGTATGGCGCTGCAGTCGTAGGACAGGTTTGGGTAGTCTTTGCCGCTTGCAAGGTGTAGACATCTCCGGAAACATACGTAGATACGGCCGGTAGATAACTTTGTCTTCCAGCCTCAGTTCTTTCATGAGGGAGGTGTGCTGACTATGATGTGCCTTCCTAGCCAGCAACCAAATTATTCTTCATGACATACTTCTTTCTCCCTATCTTCAGCATAGTTAGTATTATCAGAGGGTTGCTGCAGTTTCAGGGCATGGTGCTGTAAAAACATAATGCAAAGTGATTGGGTACATGTTGTCCCTTCGAAGGCTGGTGAAAAACTGATGACCGGCCACCAATCGCCGGGCATTTTGATACGGTTGTAGAGTTTGAGAGTAAATCCAGGTAACCACGACAAATTTGCGCGTAACTTGGACGAGAATCTGTTGAGAAAAATCAAGATCGTGGCTAGAACGTTTTTGATCCCATCTACATCGTACTGGTCGAGAGTACGTTACAATTCGTACGTAGCTAGATCGGCTGAGATCGAGTCTTGATCGGCCGAACTTGCACGCTTGCGAGGATAGATTGCCGAGAGATCGACACTATGTCGCAGAACAGAACGAGCCTTGGTCGTGTTCTGATCACGTCGAATCGAGTGGATAGACGTTTGTAGAGCGTCTATAGAGCGTATAGAACACAGGTAGGACAAAGGTAGGACACATGTAGGACACAGGTAGGACAAAGGTAGTACACAGGTAGGACACATGTAGGTCACAGGTAGACACAGGTAGACACAGGTAGGACACAGGTAGGACAAAGCGGATAAAGATTACAATGGGGGTAGGTCGCAAGGTGGCGACTACGGGAAAACAGAACTGTAATCATAGTCACGTGTGGCCGCTTGCGATTTCTGAATTATTAAAAGTTCATATGCAAGTTAATCTAATTATTCAAAATTGTAACATTGGTTTTTGTAAGTCACATGTTTCATCATAATGTATCTGCTAGAATTAATTTATTACTGACATCTACTGTGAAGAATTGTGTATTGACCAGTGGCCAGAGATATTCTGTCGTTGCTGATCTACTACATATGTTCATGTATTGTTTCGATCCCTTGTCTGAAAGTCAGTGTAACCTTATCTTGTTGTAAAAAGCCGAATTTATTGTCATTTATGTGCGTAAGACCATGTCAATAACTCGTGTATTATTCAATACTTATTTGCATGTTAACTAATGTATAATATTACTTTATCAGTTAATTAACATGGCTAGTATAAATACGACCACCTTTCTAGCCAGTATGTCTCGGTTTCTTGAAGGCATGTGAGTGTTCCATCTCTCCATAGCCTACATCTCAATAAACCTTTAACACCCGAGCAGCGTTTGGACTTCTTCATCTCCACTTATCACCACACGAAACAAAATTCATTTTATTTTTCCAGATCGTACTCGGTGACCCCATAACGCAGACATTGATAGGATTTTTCGGAATATTAGTGATAATGACAGTTGGGAATACATACCTCATCGTTCTGTTACAATAGAACCGAATGACAAACCTTGGTTAACTAATATTATCATGCTAGAAAAAAGACAACGAAATTATATATATACATAAAAGTGCTGCTGATTCGTGCTCTGCTACTCATTGGGAAAATTATAGATTGGTAGTTAGAAACGAAACTGTTCAATTACAGAAACAAAAAGATAACTCTCGAAATCTGACTATTCTTAGAATAACATTTGTTTATCTTCTGTTAAGTGCTGGAAAATACCAAATTCTGTGTTTTAAAGATGACAATACTCAAGCAGCGTCCCCTTCTAAACGATAATTGCTTTATGTTTCAATATTCTTTAGATAAAGCAGAATTTCTGAATACTTCCTATTCTTCTATCTCTACATCATCAACCGTTCTTGACCTTTTCCCTCCTCCTCATTTTTCCTTTCCTAATTGATACCGTTATGTTCCACCAACAGGATATTTAAGATAAAGTTTCTACTTTAAACAGGAAAAAGGCCGCTTGTCTTGAAGGATTTGTCCAAAACATTGTAAAAAGTACTAACACTCTATCACGCCACCTCTTACCTTCCTTTATAACAAAGCTGTGGGAATTGGCTCTATCCCATTGTCTTGGTAGGCTGCAAACATCAATACTTTTTACGCTTTTTACATAGGCAATTGTGAAAAAATATGTCTCTAACTACTGTTCCATTTAAGTACCTCCCGCTTTAGCAAATTAACAGAAAAAAGTAGCCTTCATTTCAAAGAATTTGTCAAGTTTTATTTCAGGAGATTCATGATTGGATCAACTTCTATCGATATACATGTATGTATCATACTATTATGGATTCCCTTTATAAAGGACAAGGCCGATCTCTATTTTGTGTCAAAACCTTCGATACACTGTTGCATATATGAATATAAGATATATATAAAAATATATAATTTAGAATAATGTGATATCAAAGGAAACTTGCTGATAGACTATTGCATATATGAATATAAATTATATATCATCAAAGGTGTTTATTATAATACTGTGTTATTAAAGGAAACTTGCAGAGTTCGTTTACAAATGATACATTTGTCAGGTAAAACACAGTCTGTTTAACCGATGACATTTTATAAATCAATAAAAGCTGAAATTCTGTTTTTATTTCTATCATATACTTATGTAATAGCCGATACTGTGAGTACTGATTAAGTTGTTTGCCGTGTTCAACAGGGATCGGTTTTAGGTCCGTTATTATATCTTTTATATATTCAAGATATAGCAGATACTTCGAGAAGTGAGATAATTTTTTCTAATGATACATATTTCATTGAAATATGTGAAAATGTTGATATAGCTAAAATAGTTTAGGAAAACCCTTCAAATATTAGTGTCTGGGGATATCAAATTTAACCCTTCGAAACATTTATCCATGATATTCACTAGGAAAGGAAACATTCATCCCGATATTTTGTATTAACAGCAGCCAAGTTTAAAACCTCACTACAAATGAAAACTGTAAGGTAATATCTTTTCTGAATAGACTTATCATGTAATTTATATACATATGAGAGCATTTAAAAGGCTAAATGTATTAAAACAACTAAAAACGAATTTCAGGAAATATCCCTTTACAAATTTATATAACGTAGGATATACCTTTATGAAGCAATTTCAATAAATTAAATAAAGGGGTTTTTGGGAATCTCTTTCTGATAAACGTAAGAACAACAATTTCATATTGATATTTTACATTCATCATAAAAAATCTCCAAAGCTGAAAACGCCTTGTATGTATCATACTGAAAATGAAAATTATCTACTAAGGACGACTAGATATATTTCAATAATCAAGTGTATAGAAGGGCAAGTTGCTGTTTTACATGAGCACAACTTTGATCCATCACGTGTTAACTCTCTAATACAATTCGATGATACTTAACATGATCACAAAAATCTAAACATACTACTTTATGGATGTCATGACTGTGATGAGAAATTAATCAAATCGATAACAGTGTATATCAATCGGATTTGTTTAAAGATAACTATATTTGGTCTGGTGGGGATATTGATATCTACACTTTGTATTGCCTTTGTGTTCAATGACTGTATCTTAGCGAAGTTGTAAGGAGCTTTTTATGGGTTTTTCCTGTCCTGATCACCTAATTTAAATAACAATACTCTCGATGGAAATTAAAAATGGAAATAAACATGGCTGTATATACTTTTTATCTCGCTTTTGCCTCTAAATAATTCATGGGACGATACATGTGAGCAGCAGAGAGCGAAGTAGGTGACATAGTTTCTGATAGAAAGACTCGCTGCGTAAATACAGACACAATAATTACACGGATCTGATTCATTTTAAATGTTACTTTACATTAAATGAGTATTCGTTTTTCTACAACTGACAATTCTTTGTTTCATTGTCGGAATGGTCACAACTAATACTACTCTCTTTTGAACGCTAGGTCAAACGGAGATGTAGGTTCCATTTAAGAGAGAGAAAACTATTCTATGACTTTGCATTATGCACTATATTTCTTCATGCACTAATACAAAATATGTATGATTTTTAGACAAAAGTGGGAACATCTCTTTGACTATATCATGTTCAAGATATTTTGACAAAAAAGGATGCCAACCTTCTGTTCTTATATTACTTATGTTACATATAATAATAAGCTTACTTTTGTCTTACTGTTTTTGTTCAATAGACGACTACTGTCTTCCAATTCGCTACATTTTGTATCAGATGATGATTCTGCGTAGCTATGCTTACAATGGTATATATTGGTATATAATGGAGATTCAACATTTTTAATATCTTTGCCAAAGCTTTTTTGCACATTACATTAAAACTTATGATGTGAGATTGCAATATAGATAAATTCTGAACTTCTTCATGCTTATATGTCTGCATTGCATTACTTAATTATTTAACAACAATCCCAACCGTATTGGTAAAAACTTTGATACGGTTAACTTATCTACGTAGAAATCTTTCTCCACTGCTGAAGGTTCTGATGGAATGGAGACATCAATGATGTAAGTTCTGTTTCTGTTCAAAAAATATAAAATCCTGGAAAAAAAAGAGGAAAAATCTTCTACGTCATAAACGTTATCAAATGCAGTAATAAAAAATACAATTTTGTGGTTTAAATGGTATTTTATTTCGATTATTGTATATTCATTTATTGCGTTCACATATCTAGAAAGAAAATATGAAAACGTTTACATACTATTGGGGATGTTTAAGGTGAGATGTGCTACTTGATTTGTTATCGATATACACTCTTATTTTAATGTTCAGTTTTTACTGCTGTGTTTTAAAATTTGTGCAAAAGATATACAAGTGAATATTATCTTTTAACAATTTAGAGTTAGATATAGCAGAGTCAAACAATGAATTAAACTGTAATATACAGCAAATTCGTTCTTAAGTGCATGTGTATATCTTAGTATACGTGTATGTTCTGAACCGTGACCCTATTCAAATGAACTAAAACGTCGCATGCAAGTTACAGTAAGCCTCGGGGACTTGAAATTAAACAGCAGTGTCTACTATCTGCTATTTTAATATGTACCAAAGATACATAGGTAGATAAGACCTTTTAATAATTTAGAGTAAGATGCAGTAGAGTCCAGCAATGAGTCAATGTGCATCATACAGCTGTTTCATCAGTTTCAAAATCTCAACCACGTTACCTCCCTTCGTACACTAATACAAGTATTTTGAATGGATATATCTATTCATTTGTACTTCTAAGTTTAGAGCATTAGATATAAACATGAAGCGTAAACAACACATTGGCTTTACTACCAGACATGGTGACAGAGTTATGAGGACGAGTGTATCGAATCTCGTCCCAAATACGAGCTGATAACGTTATAGTTTTACATATTTATTTCTTTGCTTGATGAAAATGGAATGTCAGTATAGTAGTATTACCACTGGTGTTCTAGCTCACCATTCTACATATATATATTCACTGAAATTTAATATTTTATTCTACTTCATGGCCTGGTAATAATTTTATCATCATTTGAAGTGGTTGTATCCTTAATAATCTTTATCTATTTGATTTATCAAGAGAATACCAGAGGATGGTGTAAGTACGTAGTATACATTGTTTAAATATTGCAGATAAAATGATGTTAAGATTTTGCAGAAGATTTCGCAGAAGCATTAAAGGTGATGCTTAATAATGAAGAAGAGTCAGGTCATATGTGCTTGTGGTTACCTAAAATAGTTGACCTTAAAAGGTTTGTATTATCTGCGTTTTGGATAATATGTTGATTAAATATACTATTCACAGAAAGAAGACCCAAGTCCAAATTAGTATATGTATTCAAATCCAAGATAAATAATCGTTTTGTTATGCAACGTCCATTTTAGTTTGAAATTAGGTCATTCATATCAAAAATACTACTGAAGACCGGATTTTTAAAATATATATATATATATATTAAATAACTCTTTTGTACAAAATAAGTTATGATTTTTCATGAAAAAATTAAATCTAATGAAATCTTTCCGAAATCTGTCTGTCTTAAATTACGTGTCTTGCATCCATGGATTAAGATGTGCCATTTGGCACATAACGCTGCTGCAATTATAATCATACAGCAAATTCTATGTAACAATTGAAGTTAATGTGCATAATTGTTATTATCATTATAACTGATGTATGTAGCACAGGAGAAATATTGTCTTTTTGTATTAAAAGATCATCTTTATTTTACACTTTTATCTCACCACTGAACACATGTTTCTTTCAAAAGACAGTGAAGTTTTACTCTAAATTCAAATGATTTGGTTATCAATTTGATAGTTTAGATACAGCCTAACGTATAACCTATCTTGACGACCACCTTTATAGAAATTCACCTGTCCATAAAGGCCTATATGTAATGCATAGTAACTGAACCTCTGTGTAAAGGCCACCTGTGTATAACTGCCATTTTCCTCTGCTCTCTTCAGTGATCTTCATAGACGGATTTGACTATATATCAACATCATTTCACTAAGATGAAATGAGTCGGTAATTTCGCATTAATGCTATATATAAGTTAACACACAATAATCTGAGTTAGATTAAATTCAGTAAAAACTAAATTAATGTTACCACTACAGAAATATTAATACATTCTCAGTTTGTCATTTGCTTTATCTACGCCATTTATCTTTAAATTCTTTGTAAAACTCATCATAAGGTTAAAATCTGTATGAAGTAAAATCTTACTATGAGGAACACGGCTCCCAGCATGACTGCTTTCAACTTCACATCCAAATCCATCGGAACTGAAGATGATTCACGTGATATTTCATACATATTAAAGAAGTATTTTAATTTCACTGACATTTTGTATTCGTTGACTACTGAACAGATATTAACCCTTACAAAATACCTTATTTTTAATCTCTTTCTTTAATGAATATTTTATTTAAGTCATGTTGGTAATGTTATTCAAAGTTGTTGAACTTGATGTTAAAGATCAGATATAATTATTTTGTATGTGTCCCAGAGAATGGGTTACATGCGGGGTTCTCGAAAGATTTTTTTTTAAAATCAGTTTTTAAAAGCAATTAATTACAGTCAACTTTTTCCCGATAATCTAAATTTTGTTTCAGTATTTTGTTAAAATCAGATTAAATCAGACCAAGTTCATGACATCCAAACTAAATCAAGTATGTATCACCAATTTATGGTAAGGCAAAGTAAAAAACTTACAATTTATTCCAAAATTATCCACATCTGTATAGAGTTCTTTCGTAAAGCCGCCCCACTTCTTATTTATCTTTCCAACTTCTTCCGTCCAGTCTTTAGACCACACCTGTGTGTAGGATAACGCGTAGAAATATAGTTTTATATATCTTATATGGTTGTTGTCATCCTTAACAATGATCTAAGGAAATAAAAAGTTGATGGTCATCGGAAGGAGGCCGCGCCATGACATAAGCACACCGATCCTTTAGACCAGGTGAGCTCAAACAAATTGAAAGTACAACCTTATAACAAGCTTTTATATGACCGTCGTACAGTACCTGATATGGAACTATGGCATTTATCATTTTATCAACCTTCTAATGCATTCAATCAGATTCCATAACACCGTTATAAATTAAGATTAGATTATCTTTGATCACCACACCTTCTCAAATTGACATCATATATTCATCTAGCAGGCGCCTCTTTCTTAATCAAACACTCGTATACAATAGTTTTACTATAGGAGTAATGGATCGAGCGACATAGACCAGGCACTATTCCAGTTGTTTATAAAGAGAAAAAATACAAGTAAAATGCTGATTACCTTGTTGACACTATCTTATGCTATGACATTTATTCTTATTTGACCTTTACACTTAAAGCAATACTTACAACGAACTCCTGGTCCCAACAACAGCCATTCATCACGCAACAAGGCCCTTTAATATTGAACACCAAGTCCCGATTGGCGTCTCTGATGCTGTAATGTGGAGTCCAAAAACTACGCCTGAAGCACAAACAAAATGAAAGATTGTGAACAGGATATAGGTATCAAAGAAAATACCTATAAGACCACAGACTCTTCATTCAAACCCATTCGATGAAACATATGAAGAACAGGAGAGTTAAACGGACAGTAATACAAGAATTAGATAAAATGTTCTGGAAGAGTAAGCGTCTACTGCTTCATCGACGACACCCGCCATGAAGATCATTGTCAATTGAAGTTAGTACCACGATATTCCTTAAAGAGAACATAGTTAAAGTTGGTTTGTTGGTTACAGTTTCAACGTCCACTCACACCTATTCTGTAAGTGTTTAAAGAGACTTAGGCACGGGTAGTTTACACATTGGTTAGATGTGACGTGTGGCTTTTGTACGAATAAGTCATAAATCAATGCTTTCTTATATGTAGTGCATATAAAACAACACTTAAAGCCTTCTAAGACCTGTCAGTCCATACTTTCAAATAACACAATTTGATGAAAGGTATGGTTTTATTTTCTCCATAGTAATCTCATTGGAAAATATTACATTTCTTTGTGCGATGTGAAGCTGGGCGTGTTTGTTTGTTGTTTCCGTTGTTATATAGTTTGCTCTAATTTGAGAACGTGACATTACCTTTTTAGATTGAGCAAGATTTATATGGCTTGTGTCAACGATGAAGCAAATGACGCTTACTCTTACGGAACATCTGGTCTTGTTCTCCTTGTACTTTTTCAAGCGTCTCCGTCTTTCTTTTGTTCATATTTTGTCCTTGTTGCATCGCGTTTTCTTGGGTTTTTTTTACTGATACATTACAAAAAGTAATTAATCGTTTTTTAAAAAACGTTACATTGTTTGGCTATTTTTTTAATGATACTGTTCCTACAAAATCTGTAAAAGACTTCTATATGGTACGTACTCCTGACGGACATATCCAACAACGGTCCCCACTGGGGCCTCGACTGCTATCTCATGGGCCCAAGCGTCAAAGTTAGCCAGCCAGCAGAATCCGACACAGCACTTAAAATCCCGAACACACTTAATGATCTCCTACCAACATACATAAAGGCATGCGTTGAAACAAACGGAAGTAGAAAAAATGAAGAAAAGTAATGAACTTGTTGATTGAAACAACGAAATCTTTCATAACAGCAATTACATTTCATATAAACAGATTAGAGGACAAATGTACATGGAAATCATGATATAAAGCCACAGACGGTCTTCGAGTGTTTTTCTTGATTCCACATAAATTTAATAATAAAAAAGAAATTCATTTATTTATTCGTTTCCGACTATTAACAGTCTTACTCCTTGGCATTGCCAAGAAACTTTCATCTTCATATGTATTTCCTGAGGGATTGGTCAACTTACTGGATAGGGGAAAGAAATCACACATCCCTTTCCCGCTTGTATCTATGACCTTCACTCATGAGATACCACCTATTTGCATATGTCAACGAATTGTTTACCTTGCTGTGCAGACGTGTAACCTACCAACCTGCCCAGTATTGTCTGTGATATGGAGAGAAAATCCACGGTTCGACCCACAGCATTGACGCTCACACATGCCAGACTCTGTCAATATGATATCAAGAAATATGAAGAAGACAGTATTAGGTGTTCAATGTTAAAGAAGTAGGCTAATATTTTATGGGGCCTGATACGCTATAAATTCATGTTCTTATAGCTTTTTCAAGTATGGAATAAAACTGAGAAAAACAACATTACAGTGAAGAATGTAAGCTTTTATTATTTCCAATTTATGATTTTGTTCTCATGAATTTGGAAATGTCAAATATTAATCAAAGATAATAACCACATTTACAGTAAATGGTTAGCAATTTCGATCCAAATGTTCTGTTTAAATGTACGGAACATGTTACATTATTATCACGTAAGTGACGAAGAAACGACAAGACTGCTGTCTTACCGTTTACATTTGCCATCTTGAATAACATATTCCTAAGTAAGAACCTCATAACCATCATATCATTCCATTTTGCAAAATACCATCCAAGTCTAGGTGTATCAGATAACCATTCCAAGAGACAAGGCAATCTTACACTGGTGAGAAGCGTAGATATACCTGTTTAAGGTAAGACGATCTCACACTGGTGAGAAGCGTGGTTATATACCTGTTTGGGGTAAAACAAGGCAATCTCACACTGGTGAGAAGCGTGGTTATATACCTGTTTAGAGTAAAACAAGGCAATCTCACACTGGTGAGAAGCGTGGTTATATACCTGTTTAGAGTAAAACAAGGCAATCTCACACTGGTGAGAAGCGTGGTTATATACCTGTTTGGGGTAAAACAAGGCAATCTCACACTGGTGAGAAGCGTGGATATATACCTGTTTGGGGTTAAACAAGAAAATATCACACTGGCGAAAAGCGAGGATATACCTGTCTTGGGATGTGTTTTTAAAAATACATCTACTCACCCTCCGCTGCAAAATATACTTGTTGTCCTTGGCTATTTAGAATTTTGTATTTGTTAGCAGCCTCCCAACCTGTGAAAACTGCAAAATTAAAAGGTACAAGACTAATGCTGTCATACGTCTGGTGTATTTGAATTTCTTTTAAGTTTCGTTCTATGATTGCCTTGATTTGCACATTCCGTTATTATATAACTTTCTAATACTACATAGACTTTTGATCTACTATCAAATATATTACATTGTTGATAAATCAATCATTAGCGAGGTCCTTAATTTTGTTTCTTGGTGATAATAGCAGTATTCTTCCTAAAGTCCAAGCCGGAGATGTTTTTGCCGCTGACATATTGCAACCTTAACAACATGTCCAGGCCCCACTTGTATAAAACATCTCAACTTGAGATTTCCTCAAGTCGAGATTTTCCTCAGCTAATATCTCCTTGAAAATATCTTGTATGAAAATTCCTCAAGGAATTTCAGGACATCCTAGCCGATGACTTCCTCCTGTTCCTTGAGAAAATTTTATACAAACCAATTTTGAGGAGATATCAGCTGAGGAAAATCTCGACTTGAGGAAATCTCAAGTTGAGATGTTTTATACAAATGGGGCCAGGACTGACCAACCTTGTACTGATTTACAACGTAGTGGGCTGGAACTATAAGAGTCAGGTATGTTGTCTAAAGATACAAGGTGTCCGCGTCGGTAATCGAATTGTGACCCATTGATCACAAGCCAATCGTCCGAACACCATACCTCTAATAATGTGTAAAGTTTTTCCTTGTACAAAGAGGATCATATTACACAACATTATTTCTGTATGATTTATACTATGGAATGATTGTTTACTTTTGTTTAAACTTATCAATTTTTTCTAAGCAGTTCGCTACCTCCAAAAAACCAACCTCTACAGCAGTTGAAGAAATGCCCTATTAAAATGATCATCCTTTGTTTTATATCACAACCCCATGTCTATTTTTGTGTAGCAAGTACAGATAAAAGAGCGACACAACCCGTATAATACAATAAATCATAATTCTCTACTATTTACAAACAATTGTTAAGGACTCAACACAAGTCGTTCTTGTCTAGATCTGTGTGACACTATACACTATCAGTAACGGGTATAAAAAGTTTTCATTTTAGGTCGCAGAAAACGAGCTTCATTAATGACACATGAAACGGAAACGAATTTAATATATCTTTTTTATCAAATCATCAATTATTTCAGCGCATATTACAGAAAATATTGCCATCTCGAAACTTGTAAGTTTACGGTTCATTTCCTTACTTATAACTGGTTTCATGAAGGTGATATGACTGTTTCATTCACTATTGAATGCATAACAATACACTTTAACCTGTGTAAGGTAAATGCAATAACAACACCTTCTAGATTCTCCATCTGCTGTTTGACAACGAGACTATCCACGTTGGTGAGGTATTCCAGGCCTGGTGGACATCCGGGTAATGACTGGGGTCGTTTCATCCACTGTATCACAAGTGGTTGACCATGAATGGTGCTGGCAAGGGTGGAAGCAGTTTGTGTGTCATCTCCTGTTGATTATATTTATCATCACATCAGAGGAATAAAAAAGGTTAAAAGACACCTTTCAATTAACGAAAACACAAATAAAAGTTTAGATTAATTATCAACTCAATGTTTAAACCTGGTAACTCAGGTAAACTAATTCCACAGAATATCTATAACAGTTTAAATACAAACAATGGCATTGTATCTATTACACACGTAGTAAATCCTGTAGTGAAGGTTAACTTCATTTTTAGTTTTTGTGTTATCTTGCTGGGTAGTTAGCATTAATGGTTTAGTTTAGAACGTTTGTACCATAAGTATAAGTTATGACATCAATTTAGATTAAATGTAGAATTGATTAAAAGACACAATCGGTAACAGAATCTTCGAATAGATATTAGTCAGATACAGTGGAGTAAAACAATTTATTAATTAAACTCCATCATATAACCGTTTTGTCTTTCTAGTATTCGTCAGCGATTCAGTGAGAACTGAAATGTTTTAATTTGGAAATCAACTGAAGGAAATCAAAAGTGACTTAAATTTATATTCAACAATAATACAAAGAATGTATACTTTCCAAATAATCTTGGTAATTTTTAATGTTGTATGGTTGTATTGCAATAAAATTATTCAATATTTGATATCTAACAATATAACTTTGATAAGTTATATCACCTTTCTAAATCAAGTAATCAAGACAAATATCACGATTTATACCTAAAGTGTTTTCGTTCTAAAACCTGTCAGTGATACTAACTTCGAAAACTCGCGACTGAGGAAAATCCAAAGTGATTAAAAAAACATGTGAAGATACACTAGCACCATAATGTAATAAAGTTTGTAATTTTATGTGTGTGATTTAGACCAATTTACTTTTATACCATCAAGTATATGTGTATATTATGAATCGTGCCTCTATTCTACTGAATGAAAACGTACTCCACACTACACCAGTTCTTCATTTAGATTTCTAATTTTACAAACGATCCTAAACATGACCGCTACTACGGTGTAAACAAATCTAGAGAATTATACGTGTATGATAGACGTTAAAAAGAACTTGCCTGAAATATTTGAATGTGTATTGAAATGACACTTACCATGAATCGGTACTTTAATAACTGTAAAACCCTTCACCTGCCTTGGTTGCTTTGCAGACATGACTGTATTTGCACGAATTGTAAATCTGTGGCGCTCGTCCTGTAAAATTGGTGCCTTATAATCCCATTTGAAACCTTTCAGAAATAGTCACTGTTCTGTCAGAAATCTACTATTCCACAGTATCACCCAGCGTATTTTATATGATAGACGTTATATCCAAGTTCTAGCCGTATAAACACTGCTCTAGGGTATACAATCCTCCATGTAAATAGTGAAGTCACTCAAACATGGTTCTTAATAATCTCCAACTGAATCAAAACGTAGACTGTAGTTTCAATTGTTCAGATATTAAATTGAAGTGGTCCCCCTCTTCTTACATTCTAGATCAGAATGAAATAAATTTCCAAACGGAACCACTTAACTTCCTGGCGAGCAAGTTTATTTCTCACAAACTTCTAAAAAAAAACAAGAACTGTATTTCTACAGGGTTAAACACACTGTATACCTGTTTATCATGTGGCACATCTAAAATTATCCTGCAGTCGTTTGATTGCACCGCTGGTTTTATCGTTCTGGCGCGTTAAACCTTCCTGTTATTTTTATCACCAAATATTTATGTCTTTTTCATTCTCCTGCTATGTTTGTGTAATTACCAAGCTTTATCAGCATTATTCCGACAGTTTTCGTATTCTGTACCTCATTGAATTCTGACTTATCTTTTTAAATGAAGAGTTTTTTCTCGGTTTTTAGTAAAGAATATAGTTTTGTGATAAGCACTTGATTTGTTTACCTTCTAACAGATAACCAGTACTCTACTTAAAATGACAATCAGATGGGAACATTACATGTCAGCATTTTGCAGGAGATATCGTTAAATACGACAAACACTTTGTATAATCTGTAACAGTCTTTGTAGTCCAAGCTCTGTTGTATATTATTATTAGGGAAAAACAAAATAATACCAACATATCAATATAATCAAAATCAAAAACCAAAGTCAAATTTCATCAAACTAGGGCAAAATATGAAACACAAATATAATAAGACCAGGTGTTCCGAAATAGTAAGTGTCTTCTGTTTCATCAACAACACTCCCCATGGAAATCTTGGTCAGTCCAAGAAAGTAATTAAAGTTCTCAAATAAGAACAAGGTATACAATAATTGAACCAACAGACAAACTAACGAGCATCAAACATGTCCAGCTTCATATCACACAATAAATAAAACAATTCTCAATAACATTAATGTGGCGACCATAAAATTTCCTCATAATTTTCTTCAACCTGCATTACTGGAAACATGGATTTACGAATTGGTCTGTCAGTTGACGACTTCTTTCGCAAAAATCGTGATGATGGAACAGGCTCCTGAATATCGAATCAACTACGGCATGTACACCATAGGTTGGAGATGCCGGAATGTTGCTAACCAGAAATGGAAAATTAGAAATAGGAAATTGAAATCATTACGTCTATCATAGAGCTTGATATTTGTTTCGTTATAAGGAAAGATCGAGATAAGCAGCTGATATTGAAGTGTCTGTCGTGTCTTTAAACCATTTTAAGTCAACAATTTAAAGGGAAATAGTTTACTTTGGTTCTATGATTATTTGACCCGGAAATGGCTCGGAAAAGACAAGGGTTTGTATGTTTAAATGTTGGAATGGCCTATTGCATTTAAAAAACGATTTGTTGATGAATTTGTATATTGTGAGTGGGTGTTGTCATTATTTAGAATTTCTAACTTCTTACAGGATTTACATAGTAGATGTCGTCTATAAAGCCGGATACCTTTACCCTGTCGGAACACCTATTCGTCCTCCGGAGTTTCCGTGTAAATATTTCATTTGTCAATATTTTACCCCAGTTTTATTGATTTTGGGTTTGGATTATGATTATGTTGACATGTTGGCAATCTCATGTTGCATTCTGTTATCGCCAAATCTGGATCATTCATGTCTGTTCAACACATCACATGTTTCTTATTGGATTGTAGTGAAACATTTACGTAATTTGCCACAATTATGATCTGTTTGATGTGTAAATTGTTGTTGGTATTATGCGAGAAGCATTAGTGAATAATAAGGTTCATATGAAAATGGCAGTCAATAAAGATCCTAAGAATTTACTATATATTGACATTATAACGACTTGGTGGTTCACAGAATAAAGGACATACACAGAGACAAAAGATATGATATACTAGATTTTATTTCATTCTATACGTGCAAAATATCTTTAAAGTACACCTGCTTTTGAAATCAGCAGAAGGGTCAGTTATTTATCTAAACGTTGTATTTGCATTACTTAGTCAGCTGGAGGTAGGGAAATCTTAGTTATCCGTGTATGTGGTATGCTATTCAGCTGTTCATCTTGTACCCCCACATAGTCTAACCTCTGACAAACAGAGAACTACAGATAGCATGGCCATCCTTCAGCAGGATCAATGTAAGGTATACAGAGTTAAAAGGGTTCAGATGTTCTGTGTTGAAATACTGTATACAGATATGATTAGCTGTCCAGTTATATACAGGATCCATCTTTATTCATCAGCTGTAACAAAAATCTTAACTGAAGGTGGTTTTCACCTGCGTGTCTTTAGGTCAATCATCGTTGAAGTAATTGCGAAACATACTCTTCAGGTCAGTAATTTTATAGTGTAGTCATCGAAACGTCCCAAATAGATTTTCTTACTGGTACTGAGATTTTTTTGATTTTTTTTAAACATTCGCAGCTTCAAATAGGGTTTAAACAAAGGCTATGTTTATTTGTTTGTACTCTTTTTTTATTCTTTTATTTTTCAATTTCAAAATTGTCTAACCCTGCTTCTGTTTAAACTGCACATGCCATTTTCAAATCAAGATGGTCAGAGATTTGAAATACTTGGTTTTGTCATTGTTAAACTCCACACCAATAACACCCAAACTGAACACTATAATACAATAACTCAGAGAGAAAAACACATTCTATGAAGATGGTTAGATTTTAGGGATGTTATATGTTTCAGGGTAGAATTCAAGCGTGAAAATAAATAAATAAAAATATGATAATTACCAATTAATACCAATTAATTGATAGAAGGTACTTAACATTTATCTAAAATTATCAGATATATGTGATTAACAAAATTGGTGCATTACAGGACCATTGCAAGGCCTTAGCATCACTGCCGAGTCCTAGAAGGACGAAACAGCTGTATGATGTAGTATCACTGACGAGTCCTAGAAGGACGAAACAGCTGTATGATGTAGCATCACTGACGAGTCCTAGAAGGACGAAACAGCTGTATGATGTAGCATCACCGCCGAGTCCTAGAAGGACGAAACAGCTGTATGATGTAGCATCACTGACGAGTCCTAGAAGGACGAAACAGCTGTATGATTTAGCATCACTGACGAGTCCTAGAAGGACGAAACAGCTGTATGATTTAGCATCACTGACGAGTCCTAGAAGGACGAAACAGCTGTATGATGTAGCATCACTGACGAGTCATAGAAGGACGAAACAGCTGTAGGATGCAGTTTAATCCATTGTTTTACACTATTGTATCTTAATTTGTATTATATAATGTTATTCACTTTTGTGCAATCATGCAAATTTTTGTAATAGGAAGTAATGAACCAATGAAACAATACTTATCTCTATCAGCAGAGTAATTGTTACAGATGAAGGAATGACAGGGCGAAATATAACGACACGTGAATGACATATTATCCGTCACTGCATTTTTATATTTAATGAAAAATCATCTAACAATGAAACACAAGACAGTAGTATGAAGTTTTGACGGTACAATAATTTTATTTAACGCTTGCAAAAAATCTTTACGCAACGAAAATGATGATTTTTATATAGGATGCCCGATACAAAGTTATCAAATCATATCCAGTGTATATTTGAGATCCATATAGTTCGCACTAGGAAGCAGGATGATATTTGTACAGCAGATGTACTTATCGTCGGCTTTCATACACACAAGCGATGCCTTACGAATTCTTCTGTGGAATCTTCACCACCACCTATAGATAAAAGATCAAGTTTAGTACACTGTTGTATGCAGACGTTTTCATTAACTTTACTTTATGTATACAAAAATACTCGCATTACTTTTAATTTCAGGGTGCATCTTACTCTCCCAATCAAGTAACATTTAAACAATAGGCAATCGTTTCTCTTTATCAAAATATAAAATAATTAACTAATTATTGAATTGTGTATATTAAAACGTTATTCAAATATTCACCAAAACACATGTTTCAACTGATAACATACACCCTAAAGAAATAATATATAAAGAGCCAATTTAGTAACATACATGTAGTATGTTTACGTCTATCACTACTGAAATGAACGTTTGTTGAAAACTTACATAAGGTTAATTGGCTATATTTAATCATTACAGCAGTATATGTAAAGACCCAACATTGGCTGACTTACAAACATTTATATATTGTTTTTCATTATCGATAGTGATGAAAACTTGAACTCGTTAAAAACACAGCAAATATAATTCTGGCTAATATATTGACAGTTGTTTCCTCGCTGACACTTCACATTGGAATGTTAATGCGGTAGATCGGGAGATTTACTTCAGTAGCCAATGTGTAAAGCGTTTATATGAATATGATGTTTCTATGGCTACTCATCGGTAAAACTTACATTTTTCACCTCTGTATATTGTTGAAGTCCGTACTCTCCTCTACAAAACAATGTTATTAAATATAGTTATAATCATCATTTCATTATCAGAACATCGTGTATGCGATATTGTCATAAAAACTGCTCATATTGCTAACATCACCATTCCATCCTACCCTCGGGTTCAATAATAGAACAGACTTGCAGTGTTCCGTTGCCAGTAATTACAAGATAGTAAGGGCGTCCCATGTAGAATGAGAAGGGGTGGTGATTTACCTTCCCAACTCGCAAGGCACTTTCAACCGTGAGCACAAAATAAATGTATTTCTAACACCTTTCAAACCATCTTCACGTCGATGTCCATTACAGAGAGATAATATGAGTGATGGCTGTTTATTCTTCACTTGGCATATGTATATCAGAGTGTGATCTCTCAACATCAGATAACCACAACTTGGCTTAAGGAAACAAAATAACACATCCTTACGGGCTACAGTTTTTTGTCAAAGTTTTACTCATTCTTTGTTTGAGGTGCCAGACTGGCTGGAGTTATCTAATAAATCAACCGTTTCTAATAATAAATTAATTAGCTAGCTGTGATAAACACATCTTTATATCATAAAATATTTATTATCAACACAAAGAGATTCTCAAATGTTTTGAAGTTAATACCTGAAATGGTACCAATATTTACCCTGACATTTTCCATCAGTAATCATTTAGTAAGGTTACATGATGGCTATTTATACTAACATTTGTTAAAGTATTTTGTTACGTGTACATGTGATGTAAAATTTATAAATGCGAGGCGCCATACAATGGACGCATTAAGAAATACAACAACTAGGAATGTCCAACACTTCTAACGGTTTGGATAGTTAACACAATGTAAGATTTTCTATTTCCACATTACATTCTAGTGTAATGGGAAGTACGAATGCACTATTAGACACAATTGGTTTTATCCGTGTGTGTGTTCCTTTGATCCACAGTGATTCGTTATAACCGTGTTTTACTACTACTGCAAGCATGAATTTAGGAATGTTGTACACAATCGCAAATAAATTGATAAAAAAACTTACAGCTCACGTCCGAGACCTGACATCTTGAATCCACCAAACGGAGCCATTGGACTTAGGATATTGTAGCAGTTGACCCTTAAAAGGTAGAGGACAATATGAAATAATAATCACGTGTCAGTTTTATAAACATATTTTGTCCATTGGAACATACCACCTAACTATTGGTACAACTACGTGTGATACGGGTTGATAACGTAATATAATGTGTTACTTCAGAAATCAGTACATGACATACTGTTACTTCACGTTTTAATGTAGTCCACGAGACTCGTTCGATCATAATCCACAGACAACAGGATTAAGGTTGGTGGTATCATATGTTTATAATAAATAACCAGACATTTTTATTAAAACCCAACAACACTGGTGTGATAATTGTCAACTTTGTCATATATCAAATCATGATGTTGACAATGGCATGGATCACTTCCAGTAAGCAGCATGCTTACACCTCCTGTAAAAAGTATGTTTATACTTCCGGTAACCAATATGTTTATACTTCCGGTAACCAGGATGTTTATACTTCCGGTAACCAATATGTTTATACTTCCGATAACCAGTATGTTTATACTTCCGGTAACCAATATGTTTATACTGCCGGTTACCACTATGTTTATACTTGCGGCAACCAGTATGTTTATACTTCCGGTAACCAGTATGTTGATACTTCCGGTAACCAGTATGTTTATACTTGCGGCAACCAGTGTGTTGATACTTCCGGTAACCAGTATGTTTATACTGCCGGTAACCAGTATGTTTATACTTCCGGTAACCAGTATGTTGATACTTGCGGCAACCAGTATGTTTATACTTCAATCAATATACGATAAGTGAACTATGTTCATATTCTGTATAGTAGTTCTCGAGATCATCACCCAGACTTGACTGTAGAATATGGTCATTCCGCGGAGTCTCACTAGACAGTTTGCCATGACATGGAAACTCAAAAACATCGTCCGAAGATGGATTTTCCACCGTCTTAAAGCTGGTGTAGAATTTTTTTTTTCTTGTTATTTTTTCCTTTTTGACACGGTTTTGTAACATTAGCTCTACTTTTAAAAACGAGATTGAAAACTGTTGTTATCATGGTATTAGTACTTGTAACATTCATCAGCAGCGCGTCCGCGTGAGAATCTCACTTCCAGTTGAAATGTTGAAATGTTATTGTATAGTTTTATGTGTTTGTTTCAGGAACACACTAGCGTTTCTAATAAACATTCAAATACTTAAAAAAGTGTTCCAAAATATTGCAAGTATTAACTCCGATTATCATTGAAATCCAACTTAAAAATGAGTATATAGATAGCAGAGAGAATATGTACGGCTATATAACAAGACTTCTAGGGACAAAATGATTATGTAAATCATAATGTTGTGTTTAATTTTAGAACCTTTTGATATTTCTAAGTATTGAATTTAATTGTATCTAATAAAAATTCCGTCACATTTAACTATGTTATAAAATTAATGTTATTTCATTGATAGTGTAAAAGGTGGTATATGTTTCGGTATTTTTGATAATGGAATTAAACCGTAAAAATAACTTATAAAAAAAAATGAAAAAAAAAACAATAATCAATTTTATGACATCAATGGACATTATATTTCTTTTGATTCAACCTTTCGATAAATCCACAAAACGTTTACCTACCAAACGGTTCCAGCCTTCACAGCCTGTGAGAAGGTAAAAGCTTTGTCGATATCCTTGGTGAAGATAGCGGCGCCCAGGCCATATTGTGTTTTGTTTGCTCGCTCAATCACCTCGTCCATTGTTTTAAACTTGATGATTTGCTGGACAGGGCCAAAGATCTATACAAATCATATAAATACATACTGTTATCAATTGTCTAAGCGCTTTGTCGAAACTAAGCAATACTTTAACACGTTTTAATTGTTTAGACATTTCCATAGTCCACCGATCAAAACCTGCAGTAAAACTCAGAACGTCTGTCTTTATGAGCCAATAATTAGTATAAATACGAGTCTGTGACAAGTTGTTCAGTATTATTGCAGTCAAATCTTGCTTTAGATTTCTATATACATGACTAATGTAACGTTATGCCTAATTTTGTCACTCTACAGCTATAATGAATCTCTTACTACAGCAAACATTGTCATAGCGATACATAGATCATACTTCGGAAACATGAAAACCATCCGCAATATCTATTATTTTCCAATCTATAATATATTGATTTCTTTGCAACCTATTGTATATCGATTTATTTCCAAACTATTAAACATCAGTTCCTTTTAAATCTATAGTATATTGGTTCCCAGTAACCAGTGATACTAGTTTATATCAAGGTGATCAGGGATACAAAATGTTATACCTCTTCTTTAGCTATGCGCATGTCATCTTGGACTCCGGAGAACACGGTTGGGGTAATAAAGTAGCCTTTGTCCCCGATTCTTTCTCCTCCACACTCCAATGTGGCGCCTTCCTTCTTACCAGACTCAATCAGTTCCATTATTCTCTTAAACTGTTCATCGTCTATCTATAACACGTAATCATTTAAACTTGGACTACATCGAAGCTTCGCTAATATATAAAGAAAATACTTTGCCTATTTTCATTCGGACATTTCCGATGTATTTTAAGTTTATTCAAGTAATTAAATCTGCAGTTATCTTCCTTTCAACGACTGCACAATAGACACACCAGTGAATGGTGGTTTTTATTATGACTTTAGATTTAGATACGGTAGGGCCGTGAATCTGTCAAATATTACAACCTGAAGTTATATTTCAACACAACCAACTTTTTACATTTCGTGTAGAAGGTTGTACAAAAGACAAACAAGTGAATGGCAAATTAAGATAAGATACGGTAGAGCCACCAAGCTGTCATATATCTGTCTGGATGTCCTCTAGGGCCCGTACTCACAAAGCTGTTCACCACGACTTGTGTGTGTGTGCTCAAATCTATAATACTGTGACAACGTACTCAAAATTCTTAATCCAAAAACATCAGAAAATACCAACATGTCGACACAATACATACTTAAATCTAATTAAACAAGGGCACAATTTGAACGAAAGACACATTTACACAGAAATTCCTAAACTTCAAACTTTCTGGGCTTTTGCTCTGTAGGGCAAGGGAACCAGGTAAGCTCTTGAATTATTGAAGATTCATTGGTTCGATAGGCGACTTTTAGTTTCTGAACGGGCGACTTGTACAAACGATCATCTAGAGACCAATGTAACGCAAATGATGGAGGATGTAAACGAGAGGATTCTACAATACAAATCTAGAATTGAACACAGGGTTGCCCGTTGTTAATTAAACTGTATCATAAAGCTCTTTTGTCCTCCTAGACTCGTAATTGATATTTAGGGCTTAAACTGTTGATAGAGTCAAATTATCACAAACCAGATCAGTACAGGTCAGTAACTCAAATATCTAATACATTTTGTGAGTTGGTCAGTAACTCAAATATCTAGCGCATTTTGTAAGTTGGTCAGTAACTCAAATATCTAGCACATTTTGTAAGTTTAGATGAAACATAATTTCAAATTAACGTCAATTAATACTGTGGCCGATTAATGTCTCCAATAAATTAAAAAGTAATAATTTGTATAAAAATCTGATACTGCTTGTACAGGTACAGAAAAGGACCGAGATAAAGGGATTCCCTACAGACTAATTAATTGTTCACGCGGTATGGAACCCCCTTTACACAACGAAACACTACCAACAATACCTGAGGTCCGTTTTTGGTGGCGGGATCAAAAGGATCGCCTACAACTCTCGCTTTGGCCAGCTCCACACTCTTCTGAACAAACGTGTCATAGATGTCCTCTTGGACAAATGTCCGACTTCCGGCCGTGCACACCTGACCGGAATTATACATCACTCCCTCGTGCGCCCACATCAAAGCACTACCCACTTTAACAAAAGAAGGAGGTGGTCGAGCTATTACTATTTTCATCTTTTTTTAATTATTTATTTTTTATTGAATATTACGTTATATTTTTCGCAGTAAAACAAAAGGTTTTATGGTCAAAACAATACCAAGTTTTGGTATTTTCGCTAATTGTGACAGCAGATCCCAGTAACTGCAGTGAAAATATCGATTTCTAGCAAGTGAGCTTATGGAACGACAACCCTGGTAGAGATTGTGAAACTAAAACCGTTTCAAAATTAAAGGCTTTGTTTAGCTTTAATGTAAACACTGATCCCGACCAATCTGATATAGATTATTAGAGTATTACAACACCCTTACTGTGTGTTACATTATTTAGCGATTCGTGTCTGCAATATGTCACGGAGTGTTGAAAATTGAGTCCGCACACAGACGATAAACAACACGAAATTTCAACATGCCAACATAATCATAATCCAAATTCAAATTCAATAAAACTAAGGCAAGATATGAATAAAAAAAGGTTTTCATCGAGACTCCTGAAAAAGTACAAGGTATTCCGGAAGATTAAGCGTCTCCTGCTTCATCGACGACTCCCGCCATGTAAATCTTGGTCAATCAAAAAAAAAGTAGTGCCACGTTCACAAATTAGGACAAGGTATAAAACAACAGGAACACCAGGCAAACTAGCTATCACAAAGTCTAAGTGATATCAAATGAACGTGACAAAAGGTTCCTTCTTTCTCTGTTTCAGTTCTGTATGAAAGAACACTCACTCTCTGCATCCGCGAAGATAACGTTAGGACTCTTTCCTCCTAGTTCTAGTGTCGGACGCTTCAGATTAGACTCAGCTGCTGCCTTCATGATGATGTGTCCAACCTACAATTTGTTATAAGATTAAAAAAAATGTAGCCGATCACATTGTTAAGTATAGGAATTCATTTCCTGTTCTTGAGATCGACAGCTTCCCGTTGGAGACTTTCATGACTCGAGGTCTGTGTGATTTGGCATACTGGAACGATAGTGCATTATCTCGTGTCTCGTTAAGTCATTCTGGTTATAAAACATTATGACTTCGTACTGTTTTTCTTAATCCCATCACTGAATCCGAGCAGGAGTTTTATACTGTTGTGATAGAATATAATACATTTAATTATCAGTCATCAGCTAACTTACTGTATTGTGCACACATTGCCAGGTCCTATTATCTCGAAGACTGAACAAAGAAATACAAGTGAATATTAGCTTTTTTATATAAATTTAGAATTAGATATAACCAAGCCAAGCTCAAAACAAACTCCATAACGGGAGGCACACTAGTCATCGTAAGTTTTATATATCTAATTATTGTAGTAGAATGTCTAGTACACGTTCATACTCTCAAACTATTCTATAGCATTACAATGTGGCATGTAGAAATTAAACCTACTCGGTAGACCTACAAATAAAACTTTGCCCAAAGACCAATCACAAAACCCCACAGATAGGACTTACCTCGGTAAAACCTCGAGATAAGACAAACATCGGTAGAGCTACAAGTAAAACATTTTGGCACAAAACAGACCTTGGAGCAGTATTAACTCCCATGAGCTGCAGAACTATTAGTAAATCCTCGACATAAAACATACGTCGGTAGAATTATCAGTAAAACCTCGACATAAGACATACGTCGGTAGAATTATCAGTAAAACCTCGACATAAGACATACGTCGGTAGAATTATAAGTAAAACCTCGACATAAGACGTACGTCGGTAGAATTATCAGTAAAACCTCGACATAAGACATAAATCTGTAGAATTATCAGTAAAACCTCGACATAGGACATACGTCGGTAGAATTATCAGTAAAACCTCGACATAAGACGTACGTCGGTAGAATTATCAGTAAAACCTCGACATAAGACGTACGTCGGTAGAATTATCAGTAAAACCTCGACATAAGACGTACGTCGGTAGAATTATAAGTAAAACCTCGACATAAGACGTACGTCGGTAGAATTATCAGTAAAACCTCGACATAAGACGTACGTCGGTAGAATTATCAGTAAAACCTCGACATAAGACATACGTCGGTAGAATTATAAGTAAAACCTCGACATAAGACGTACGTCGGTAGAATTATCAGTAAAACCTCGACATAAGACATACGTCGGTAGAATTATCAGTAAAACCTCGACATAAGACGTACGTCGGTAGAATTATCAGTAAAACCTCGACATAAGACGTACGTCGGTAGAATTATCAGTAAAACCTCGACATAAGACATACGTCAGTAGAATTATCAGTAAAACCTCGACATAAGACATACGTCGGTAGAGTTATCAGTAAAACCTCGACATAAAACATACGTCAGTAGAATTATCAGTAAAACCTCGACATAAGACATACGTCGGTAGAATTATCAGTAAAACCTCGACATAAGACGTACGTCGGTAGAATTATCAGTAAAACCTCGACATAAGACGTACGTCGGTAGAGTTATCAGTAAAACCTCGACATAAGACATACGTCGGTAGAGTTATCAGTAAAACCTCGACATAAAACATACGTCCGTAGAATTATCAGTAAAACCTCGACATAAGACGTACGTCGGTAGAATTATCAGTAAAACCTCGACATAAGACATACGTCGGTAGAATTATCAGTAAAACCTCGACATAAGACATACGTCGGTAGAATTATCAGTAAAACCTCGACATAAGACATACGTCGGTAGAATTATCAGTAAAACCTCGACATAAGACATACGTCGGTAGAATTATAAGTAAAACCTCGACATAAGACGTACGTCGGTAGAATTATCAGTAAAACCTCGACATAAGACATACGTCGGTAGAATTATCAGTAAAACCTCGGCTTAAGACATACTTCGGTAGAGCCTGTGAAAGCGATTTTGTCGACTTCCATGTGACCTGACAGTGCGGCTCCAGCGGTTTGACCGTACCCAGGGACCACGTTCACGACTCCTGGAGGAAATCCTGCCTGAAAAGAAAGGAAAGTAAATACAAGACATAAATACAACTTCTTTCTACACTTTCTTTTAATGTGGCATCGTTTCAAAAAAGTCAACCAAAAATGCTGCAACGACTACAAAATTTTAATTACAAATTGATGGCATGAGGGTTAAATGTGAAGACACAGATCTTCGAAAAAGTAAAAGGATAATAAGACCAGATATTTCGGAAGGGTAAGCGTCCTCTGATTTATAGATGATAACCGCCTTGTCAACTGAAGTAAAAAAATACCATGTCTCCATGTTAGGTAAACAACAACAAAAGCAACCAGACCTACCAATGATCATCGCACACAAACACACACCTTCTGTATGTCGATCAATACCTACCTCCTTGACTAACGCCGCGAGGTATATAGCCGTTAGAGGTGTCTGTTCGGCAGGTTTAATGATTACCACGTTACCAGTGGCCAGGGCTGGACCCAACTTCCACACCGTAAGAATGATTGGAAAGTTCCACTGCAGAGGGCAAGAAAAGGCTTGACTGTATTTAGAAATCGATTTTGAAATACGAAAACCAACGTGTCTATGCCTTAATGAATATGAAACATTGCATCAAATTTAAAGACAAAGAAATATATCATTTTTGAATATAGATTTTGAATGGAATAAAGGTTCTTATGACAAAGTCAGTAAAAGATTGGAGTGTGACGTTAATTGAAACGTAGTAGCAGTGACTAACGTATTTACAAAATGGAGAGGACCTGACCAACTTCTTTTAGCTGTACTGTAATGCTTTGTACACAGATGGTCGATTCCTTACCGTCTCAAGTACTACATATGTCAGTGCTAGTACACTCCACACTGGTCATTTGTCTGATGAAGGTGACTGTGTAGATCTCATACACTACATACATCAGTTCTAGTACGCTCCATACTGGTCATTAATCTGATGAAGGTGAACATGTAGTCATCGAAACGTCACACTCTAATCTTCTACTGGTAATGTTATAAGATGTAGGTGACCGTGTAATCATCGAAACGTCACACTCTAATCTTCTACTGGTTGTGTTATAAGATGAAGGTGACCGTGTAGTCATCGAAACGTCACACTCTAATCTTCTACTGGTTGTGTTATAAGATGTAGGTGACCGTGTAATCATCGAAACGTCACACTCTAATCTTCTACTGTTTGTGTTATAAGATGTAGGTGACCGTGTAATCATCGAAACATCACACTCTAATCTTCTACTGTTTGTGTTATAAATATTTATTGACGTTACTAACGTGAAGAGAAAGTCCCAAAACAGAACATCAAAGTGAAATTGATACAAAAAGAGAACACTGACCGGGATAATTTGAGCACAAACGCCGACCGGTTCGTGTCTGGTGTAACAGAAGAAGTCTCCGTCTGAAAATGAGAGTGTCATACATTTCTCCTGAGTTTTTTCTTTTAGTTTCGTTACACATCAATATTGTGTTAACTTGCAATTAATAAACACTTAATTTTAAATAGCAATTTACTACAGACAGCTTTAGTTAAACACTTCATCCTATTTTTGTAGCTTTTTTTAATTATTCACATTTATTTTCTCCCTTCGTACTCACCAATAGGAATGGTTTTTCCTTGAATTTTGTCTGCCCAGCCACCAAAATACCTGAGACTATTTCCTGACGCAACAACAGTGGCATAAGCGTTCTGGTAGGGTTTGCCATTGTCCAGGGTCTCTAGGCTCTGCCAGATAAAAACACTAGTGTAGGTAACCTCTGTAACTTCCTTAACACAGATAACAGGGAGTGTACTATAACCTCTGTACCTTCCTTAACACAGATAACATGTAGTGTACTATAACCTCTGTACCTTCCTTAACACAGATAACAGGGAGTGTACTATAACCTCTGTACCTTCCTTAACACAGATAACAGAGAGTGTATTATAACCGCTGTACCTTCCTTAACACAGATAACAGAGAGTGTATTATAACCGCTGTAACTTCCTTAACACAGATAACAGGGAGTGTACTATAACCTGTGTACCTTCCTTCACACAGATAACAGGGAGCGTATTTTAACCTGTGTACCTTCCTTAACAAAGATAACAGGGAGTGTATTAAAACCTCTGTACCTTCCTTAACACAGATAACAGGGAGTGTACTATAACCTCTGTAACTTCCTTAACACAGATAACAGGGAGTGTACTATAACCTCTGTACCTTCATTAACACAGATAACAGGGAGTGTACTATAACCTCTGTACCTTCCTTAACACAGATAACAGGGAGTGTACTATAACCTCTGTAACTTCCTTAACACAGATAACAGGGAGTGTACTATAACCTCTGTAACTTCCTTAACACAGATAACAGGGAGTGTACTATAACCTCTGTAACTTCCTTAACACAGATAACAGGGAGTGTACTATAACCGCTGTACCTTCCTTAACACAGATAACAGGGAGTGTACTATAACCTCTGTACCTTCCCAAACACAGATAACATGTAGTGTACTATAACCTATGTACCTTCCTTAACACAGATAACAGGGAGTGTACTATAACCTCTGTAACTTCCTTAACACAGATAACAGGGAGTGTACTATAACCTCTGTACCTTCCTTAACACAGATAACAGGGAGTGTACTATAACCTCTGTAACTTCCTTAACACAGATAACAGGGAGTGTGCTATAACCTGTGTACCTTCCTTCACACAGATAACAGGGAGTGTACTATAACCTCTGTACCTTCCTTAACACAGATAACAGGGAGTGTACTATAACTTGTGTACCTTCCTTAACACAGATAACATGGAGTGTACTATAACCGCTGTAACGTCCTTAACACAGATAACATGGAGTGTACTATAACCTCTGTACCTTCCTTAACACAGATAACAGGGAGTGTACTATAACCTCTGTACCTTCCTTCACACAGATAACAGGGAGTGTATTATAACCTCTGTACCTTCCCAAACACAGATAACAGGGAGTGTACTATAACCTCTGTACCTTCCCAAACACAGATAACAGGGAGTGTACTATAACCTCTGTACCTTCCCAAACACAGATATCATGGAGTGTACTATAACCTCTGTACCTTCCTTAACACAGATAACAGGGAGTGTACTATAACCTCTGTACCTTCCTTCACACAGATAACAGGGAGTGTACTATAACCTCTGTACCTTCCTTAACACAGATAACATGGAGTGTACTATAACCGCTGTAACTTCCTTAACACAGATAACAGGGAGTGTACTATAACCTCTGTACCTTCCTTAACACAGATACCAGGGAGTGTACTATAACCTCTGTACCTTCCTTAACACAGATAACAGGGAGTGTACTATAACCTCTGTACCTTCCTTAACACAGATAACATGGAGTGTATTATAACCTCTGTACCTTCCCAAACACAGATAACATGTAGTGTACTATAACCTCTGTAACGTCCTTAACACAGATAACAGGGAGTGTACTATAACCTCTGTACCTTCCTTAACACAGATAGGGAGTGTACTATAACCTCTGTACCTTCCTTAACACAGATAACAGGGAGTGTACTATAACCTCTGTACCTTCCTTAACACAGATAACAGGGAGTGTATTATAACATCTGTACCTTCCTTAACACAGATAGGGAGTGTACCATAACCTCTGTACCTTCCTTAACACAGATAACAGGGAGTGTATTATAACATCTGTACCTTCCTTAACAGAGATAACATGGAGTGTACTATAACCTCTGTACCTTCCTTAACACAGATAACAGGGAGTGTATTATAACCTCTGTACTTTCCTTAACACATATAACAGGGAGTGTATTATAACCTCTGTACTTTCCTTAACACAGATAACATGGAGTGTACTATAACCGCTGTAACGTCCTTAACACAGATAACATGGAGTGTACTATAACCTCTGTACCTTCCTTAACACAGATAACAGGGAGTGTACTATAACCTCTGTACCTTCCTTCACACAGATAACAGGGAGTGTACTATAACCTGTGTACCTTCCTTAACACAGATAACATGGAGTGTACTATAACCGCTGTAACTTCCTTAACACAGATAACAGGGAGTGTACTATAACCTCTGTACCTTCCTTAACACAGATAACATGGAGTGTATTATAACCTCTGTACCTTCCCAAACACAGATAACATGTAGTGTACTATAACCTCTGTAACTTCCTTAACACAGATAACAGGGAGTGTACTATAACCTCTGTACCTTCCCAAACACAGATAACATGTAGTGTACTATAACCTGTGTACCTTCCTTAACACAGATAACAGGGAGTGTACTATAACCTCTGTACCTTCCCTAACACAGATAACATGTAGTGTACTATAACCTATGTACCTTCCTTAACACAGATAACAGGGAGTGTATTATAACCTCAGTACCTTCCTTAACACAGATAACAGGGAGTGTACTATAACCTATGTACCTTCCTTAACACAGATAACAGGGAGTGTACTATAACCTCTGTACCTTCCTTAACACAGATAACAGGGAGTGTACTATAACCTCTGTACCTTCCTTAACACAGATAACATGGAGTGTACTATAACCTCTGTACCTTCCCAAACACAGATAACATGGAGTGTACTATAACCGCTGTAACTTCCTTAACACAGATAACAGGGAGTGTACTATAACCTCTGTACCTTCCTTAACACAGATAACATGGAGTGTACTATAACCTCTGTACCTTCCCAAACACAGATAACATGGAGTGTACTATAACCGCTGTACCTTCCTTAACACAGATAACAGGGAGTGTACTATAACATCTGTACCTTCCTTAACACAGATAACATGGAGTGTACTATAACCTCTGTACCTTCCTTAACACAGATAACATGGAGTGTACTATAATCTCTGTACCTTCCTTAACACAGATAACATGTAGTGTACTATAACCTCTGTAAGTTCCTTAACACAGATAACAGAGATTGTACTATAACCTCTGTACCTTCCTTAACACAGATAGGGAGTGTACTATAACCTCTGTACCTTCCTTAACACAGATAACAGGGAGTGTACTATAACCTCTGTACCTTCCTTAACACAGATAACAGGGAGTGTATTATAACATCTGTACCTTCCTTAACACAGATAGGGAGTGTACCATAACCTCTGTACCTTCCTTAACACAGATAACAGGGAGTGTATTATAACATCTGTACCTTCCTTAACACAGATAACATGGAGTGTACTATAACCTCTGTACCTTCCTTAACACAGATAACAGGGAGTGTATTATAACCTCTGTACTTTCCTTAACACATATAACAGGGAGTGTATTATAACCTCTGTACTTTCCTTAACACAGATAACAGGGAGTGTACTATAACCTCTGTACCTTCCTTAACACAGATAACATGGAGTGTACTATAACCTCTGTACCTTCATTAACACAGATAACAGGGAGTGTACTATAACCTCTGTACCTTCATTAACACAGATAACATGTAGTGTACTATAACCTCTGTAACGTCCTTAACACAGATAACAGGGAGTGTACTATAACCTCTGTACCTTCCTTAACACAGATAACAGGGAGAGTACTATAACCTGTGTACCTTCCTTAACACAGATAACAGGGAGTGTATTATAACCTCTGTACTTTCCTTAACACAGATAACATGGAGTGTATTATAACCTCTGTACCTTCCTTAACACAGATAACAGGGAGTGTACTATAAGCTTTGTAACTTCCTTAACACAGATAACAGGGAGTGTATTATAACCTCTATACCTTCCTTAACACAGATAACAGGGAGAGTACTATAACCTGTGTACCTTCCTTAACACAGATAACAGGGAGTGTACTATAACCTCTGTACCTTCCTTAACACAGATAACAGGGAGTGTATTATAACCTCTGTACTTTCCTTAACACAGATAATAGGGAGTGTATTATAACCTCTATACCTTCCTAAACACAGATAACAGAGAGTGTACTATAACCTATGTACCTTCCTTAACACAGATAACATGGAGTGTACTATAACCTCTGTACCTTCCTTAACACAGATAACAGGGAGAGTACTATAACCTCTGTAACTTCCTTAACACAGATAACAGGGAGTGTACTATAACCTCTGTAACTTCCTTAACACAGATAACAGAGAGTGTACTATAACCTCTGTACCTTCCTTAACACAGATAACATGTAGTGTACTATAACCTCTGTACCTTCCTTAACACAGATAACAGAGAGTGTACTATAACCTCTGTACCTTCCTTAACACAGATAACATGTAGTGTACTATAACCTCTGTACCTTCATTAACACAGATAACAGGGAGTGTACTATAACCTCTGTACCTTCCTTAACACAGATAACAGGGAGTGTACTATAACCTCTGTACCTTCCTTAACACAGATAACATGTAGTGTACTATAACCTCTGTACCTTCCTTAACACAGATAACAGGGAGTGTACTATAACCTCTGTACCTTCCTTAACACAGATAACATGTAGTGTACTATAACCTATGTACCTTCCTTAACACAGATAACAGGGAGTGTACTATAACCTCTGTGAACTCCACTGCAATTTTATTGAGATTTAAAAATCACAAACGATGAACGATGATGACAATTAAGGTGAAAATTATCCTCCATTAAAACGTTAGATATACCTACAGACAGGTAATCTGCATCCCGTACAATCAAGTCTCCCAGCTTCTGCAACAAGTTTCCGCGTTTACTAGCATCCATTCGTCTCCATGGTGATCCAATCTTGAATGCTTCCTTTGCGGCTTCAACTGCCTTCTGAATATCTTCCTGATCAGAAATAATAATCATTATTTCTTACTGAAGTTTTTTTATAAAGATGATAATCTGATAAGTGTTTTCACGGATACTGGGCCGAATTTCAATTGTTTTTTTTTACATGTAACCTCCCACCCCTACCCCTTCTTTCACCCCACTCCTACCCATCCCACCCTGTTCTAGTACATCTATTCAGTTGTCTGTCGTATTTAAATGACTCTGCTTCATTTTGTCAGAGTTCTTATTTTTCTCGTTACCATATTTTGTGTTTGAAATCAATGCTTTGTTGTTTTTATTGTGACCGAAAACACAAAATAGAATTTGAAAAGTTTACATGAATTCTATTTTTCAGCCTAAATGCGCTTGTCCTCTTACTTGTTACTCGTAACAAGAACACACTACAAATAAAAAAACTTTATCAACATTTATGTAAAATATAAACATTATGATTATATCAGTCTTTAAACAACGTATTTCTTATCAGAATTCATATTTGTATACCAGAACCTATAACACTGTATCACCAGATAAATAACATGTTAAATGTTTATGTCCCACCAACATATTTTCTCCTGTTTGTCTTTATGTATACGCCGCCATCATTAACTTTTCTTTTTTTTTTAGATGATTAACCATACCGTCATTTCAGTGATTGTACATGTGACGCTTACGTACAGGCATGACATAGCCTTGTAAATCATGTGTTTATATGTATAGGAACATACGCATGTTGTGATAGGAATTTTAAATGCAAGAAATGTTAATACATAGATACATGATACAGCACACATTCATACATATACGACATGATAACGGTATTCATAGATCATGAAGTCAATTCATGACGCTTATATAGTGCTATCACACCGAAATATCATGAAATCATAGCACCCATCCGGTCACATTATACTGACACGCTTATAAAGTGTTATCACACCGAAATATCATGAAATCATAGCACCCACCCGGTCACATTATACTGACAACGATTGCCAGGTTTTACTAACCTTTCATAGCTACACTACCAGCGGAGAGTATCAAACACCAGTTTACCTTACAAAGTCAGGGACACTCTCTGATCTTATATTGTATTTGTAGGATGATATCTGTTATGATTATACACAGTAAATACCTTGTCTCCTTCCTGTATATCTGCTATCTTCTCCTCTGTACACGGGTTAAATGTTGGAAACGTCTTTCCACTCACAGAGTTTACAAATTCATTGTTTATGAAAATCTGTTAAAAGATTGAAATAGAAATGAGATAATAAGGAAATACGGTTAATTGATCTGATTAAGTCCGTAGTTCATATATTTGTGACACTCATGGAGAAAATGGTCAGTTGAACTGGACTATCAAAGCTAAGATACGGTGTAATGATAAAAGACTGACCAGTTCCTAAACAACATGGACAACAATCCAATAACGGTGTGTATCTCAGGACTTTTGATTGTTTTTATCAGGAAAAGTAGGGACTTACACACACGCCATAAATGAACCCAAAATCATATTTTCTATTCTTTCATATGGATATTTTTTTCATCTAAACATCCAAAAGGAGACCCGTCCGAGAAATTTAAAATTATTTCAGAGTTTGAAATATTGTCACTGAATGATTTCTGACTGTGTCCTAGATGGAGGTAGAATATCAGACGAGCTAGACTTTATCAATCAGGGAGAGGTCAGCAAGAGGTCAAACTCCATCAGGATTCAAGAGAGAGGTGACTACATTTACATGGGCGGTTCATTAAAACATACCAAAGCGACTTATAATTCCCTACAAACACATCGGAAGGGGGGGGGGGATTTTCAGACACACACACAGAAAAAAATACACACACAGTAAAAAAAAGAAATACACACACAAAAAAAAATATACGCCCCCACACACAAACACACACAAAAAGAAATTACACATACGAACACAGAAAAAAGAAATTACACACACACACAAAAAAAGAAATTATACACACACAGAAAAAAGGAAATTACACACATACAAAAAGAAATTACACACACACACAGAAAGAGAAAAAAATATACACACAGAAGAAAAAAAAATACTTACCGGTATGTACTTTCGATCGTTTCATTGATTTTCAGTCTAATTGTCGTAAACATATAGACACCGATGTTTACTGTAAATTTGTTTTCATCCTCACTTGGTACAATATTATTGTTTTTGTTTTTTGAATAATTGTTTTCTTAATATTTCCTACCTGGGTATATTTGATTTCAGGTGTACGATTGGGTGTCGGAGTACTAGCCATGTTGTGGGTTGTAGACGATCTGACTGAAGCTGTTGGTGGACTGACCAGATAACGGTGTCTGATGTAAGAACATTATTCAAGGACGATAATAATGTTGCATTCTAATGTGGTCTCATGTTTCTTATCAGATAAAAACATATTAAAAATTTCGAGCTACTTTTTTTTCAATTAATTTATTCCTACAAAGTTTTGTTCGGGAACATTATTCAAGTGTTTTTTTATATCAAAGATAAACTGATTTAAGTACATCACGAGTGGTTAGGGACCGTCCACTGTGTAAAGGTAAGGGATATGAGTCCAGATCTAGGCGTTACAAATATTCACACAACACACTGACTATCTGGTATTATCGCACGACAGTGTTTATATATCACTAATAAAAGCGCTATTTCCACCTGATAAATAACCCAGACCTGGAATTTAAGTAAACTCCTCAGAGAGGTCCAACTCAAACATGAGTGAGAAAAGTCCATGTTATAAATTTATTATAATTGAAATTATATAGAAATAGTAATGACATTAATTACATGTACTAATATAGCAATCACTTGAAGACTTGTAACGATCAAGTTTTACATCAGATGATCAGAATTTAGACTGTACATTTAGGCTTACATCGATCTACTGGGATTTGTTCATTGTTGTCATTTAAAAATAAATATAAAATAAACAAAATATTGGCTAGAAACAATAACGATACAGATATATTCATACTTACCGGAATGTTGAGTTAGGAAATCCAGAAACAAGACCTACACTATTTCATTTTAGATATTTTGTGTTGAATGAGTGACAGTAGAACATAACAAGTCTCATATCTCATCCCGTTTCCTTGTGCAATATGAAGACGGTTGGTTGTTTGTTAGAATGCTCGATACTTGTTATTCACTGTGTTCTTATTTCAGAACGGAACATAGATATAAAAACATTTATAGGTCACGTGTTGTGAATAGAAAGGAAGACGTGTCCCTCTAAGAATCCCAAGTCTTATATTTTTTGTACTAATTCACTGGTCTCCATATTTGGTCATGATGTGCCATCGTTACATCGATTAGGAGTTTGAGTTCAGGTTTTACTGACATGTCGGTGGTGGTGGTGGCTGTCGTGGTGGTGGTGGTGGTGGTGGTGGTGGTGGTGGTGCTGCTGCTGGTGGTGGTGGTGGTGGTGGTGGTATTGGTGGTGTTGATGGTGGTGGTGATGGTGGTGGTGGTGGTGGTGGTGGTGGTGGTGGTGGTGGTGGTGTTTTGTTGTCATCGTCGTCGTTGTTGTTGCTGGTGGTGGTGGTGGTGGTCAAGGTGGTGTTTGTTGTCATCGTCGTTGTTGTTGGTGGTGGTGGTGATGTTGGTGGTGATGTTGGTGGTGGTGGTGATGTTGGTTGTGATGTTTTGTTGTCATCGTCGTTGTTGTTGGTGGTGGTGGTGGTGTTTTGTTGTCATCGTCGTTGTTGCTGTTGTTGTTGTTGGTGGTGGTGGTGGTGATAGTGTTGGTGTTTTGTTGTCTTCGTTGTTGTTGCTGCTGTTGCTGTTGTTGTTTAGTTTTGCCTCTGTCTCTATATGAATCACACCATTCACTGGCTGTAGCTTTAGTAGAGTGTAATATGTTGACAATGATAAAACTTTTATTCCATTGCACGTTTTGCTATCACTTCAAACTAAACAGACAATCAAATGGTTTATATTGTCTAATATTTTATTGCACACTTTTGTTATAAACACAATAACATAGAAGTTGTCAATAATACCGACGATAAAACTAAATTTTCGTTTAATTTTACGAATAGAAATATGTTCTTTCTCTGTTTTAATTTCCAGAATATAATAGTTTTACAAATAATCTATTCAAGAATAGATTTAATGTGAAGACAAAGAATAGCAAATGACAATGTATATATATTGTACACACAAAACAATTGGTGACGGTATCTCATATTGCATTGATTTAAGATTTGTACAAGTACATCTGTAGTATACCTAATGATATAAGCTAGCCGGTCCCCTCTATACATCTGTAGTACACCTAATGATATCAGCTAGCCGTCCCCTCTATACATCTGTAGTACACCTAATGACATTATCTAGCCGGTCCACTATATATATCTGTAGTACACCTAATGATATAAGCTAGCCGTCCCCTCTATACATCTGTAGTACACCTAATGATATCAGCTAGCCGTCCCCTCTATACATCTGTAGTACACCTAATGATATAAGCTAGCCGGTCCCCTCTATACATCTGTAGTACACCTAATGACATTAGCTAGCCGGTCCCCTCTATACATCTGTAGTACACCTAATGATATCAGCTAGCCGTCCCCTCTATACATCTGTAGTACACCTAATGATATCAGCTAGCCGGTCCCCTCTATACATCTGTAGTACACCTAATGACATTAGCTAGCCGGTCCCCTCTATACATCTGTAGTATACCTAATGATATCAGCTAGCCGTCCCCTCTATACATCTGTAGTACACCTAATGACATTATCTAGCCGGTCCCCTCTATACATCTGTAGTACACCTAATGATATCAGCTAGCCGTCCCCTCTATACATCTGTAGTACACCTAATGATATAAGCTAGCCGGTCCCCTCTATACATCTGTAGTACACCTAATGACATTAGCTAGCCGGTCCCCTCTATACCCCTGTAGTACACCTAATGACATTATCTAGCCGGTCCCCTCTATACACCTGTAGTACACCTAATGACATTAGCTAGCCGGTCCCCTCTATACACCTGTAGTACACCTAATGACATTAGCTAGCCGGTCCCCTCTATACACCTGTAGTACACCTAATGACATTAGCTAGCCGGTCCCCTCTATACATCTGTAGTACACCTAATGACATTAGCTAGCCGGTCCCCTCTATATATCTGTAGTACACCTAATGACATTAGCTAGCCGGTCCCCTCTATATATCTGGTGTCCACGTGATGATATTAACAAGCTGATCCTCGATATGTCCGTAGTTTTCTGTGTGACATAAACAAGCTGATCCGCGTTATGTCCGTAGTTTTCTGTGTGATATTAACAAGCTGATCCGCGATATGTCCGTAGTTTTCTTTGTGATATTAACAAGCTGATCCGCGATATGTCCGTAGTTTTCTGTGTTTTCTGTGTGATATTAACAAGCTGATCCGCGATATGTCCGTAGTTTTCTGTGTTTTCTGTGTGATATTAACAAGCTGATCCTCGATATGTCCGTAGTTTTCTGTGTGATATTAACAAGCTGATCCTCGATATGTCCGTAGTTTTCTGTGTGATATTAACAAGCTGATCCTCGATATGTCCGTAGTTTTCTGTGTGATATTAACAAGCTGATCCTCGATATGTCCGTAGTTTTCTGTGTGATATTAACAAGCTGATCCGCGTTATGTCCGTAGTTTTCTGTGTTATATTAACAAGCTGATCCGCGATATGTCCGTAGTTTTCTGTGTGATATTAACAAGCTGATCCGCGTTATGTCCGTAGTTTTCTGTGTGATATTAACAAGCTGATCCGCGATATGTCCGTAGTTTTCTGTGTTTTCTGTGTGATATTAACAAGCTGATCCGCGATATGTCCGTAGTTTTCTGTGTTTTCTGTGTGATATTAACAAGCTGATCCTCGATATGTCCGTAGTTTTCTGTGTGATATTAACAAGCTGATCCTCGATATGTCCGTAGTTTTCTGTGTGATATTAACAAGCTGATCCTCGATATGTCCGTAGTTTTCTGTGTGATATTAACAAGCTGATCCTCGATATGTCCGTAGTTTTCTGTGTGATATTAACAAGCTGATCCGCGTTATGTCCGTAGTTTTCTGTGTTATATTAACAAGCTGATCCGCGATATGTCCGTAGTTTTCTGTGTGATATTAACAAGCTGATCCGCGTTATGTCCGTAGTTTTCTGTGTGATATTAACAAGCTGATCCGCGATATGTCCGTAGTTTTCTGTGTTTTCTGTGTGATATTAACAAGCTGATCCGCGATATGTCCGTAGTTTTCTGTGTGATATTAACAAGCTGATCCGCGTTATGTCCGTAGTTTTCTGTGTGATATTAACAAGCTGATCCGCGATATGTCCGTAGTTTTCTGTGTGATATAAACAAGCTGATCCGCGTTATGTCCGTAGTTTTCTGTGTGATATTAACAAGCTGATCCGCGATATGTCCGTAGTTTTCTGTGTGATATTAACAAGCTGATCCGCGATATGTCCGTAGTTTTCTGTGTTTTCTGTGTTATATTAACAAGCTGATCCGCGATATGTCCGTAGTTTTCTGTGTGATATTAACAAGCTGATCCGCGTTATGTCCGTAGTTTTCTGTGTGATATTAACAAGCTGATCCGCGATATGTCCGTAGTTTTCTGTGTGATATAAACAAGCTGATCCTCGATATGTCCGTAGTTTTCTGTGTGATATTAACAAGCTGATCCGCGATATGTCCGTAGTTTTCTGTGTGATATTAACAAGCTGATCCGCGATATGTCCGTAGTTTTCTGTGTGATATTAACAAGCTGATCCGCGATATGTCCGTAGTTTTCTGTGTGATATTAACAAGCTGATCCGCGTTATGTCCGTAGTTTTCTGTGTGATATTAACAAGCTGATCCGCGATATGTCCGTAGTTTTCTGTGTGATATTAACAAGCTGATCCGCGTTATGTCCGTAGTTTTCTGTGTGATATTAACAAGCTGATCCGCGATATGTCCGTAGTTTTCTGTGTTTTCTGTGTGATATTAACAAGCTGATCCGCGATATGTCCGTAGTTTTCTGTGTGATATTAACAAGCTGATCCGCGTTATGTCCGTAGTTTTCTCTGTGATATTAACAAGCTGATCCGCGATATGTCCGTAGTTTTCTGTGTGATATTAACAAGCTGATCCGCGTTATGTCCGTAGTTTTCTGTGTGATATTAACAAGCTGATCCGCGATATGTCCGTAGTTTTCTGTGTTTTCTGTGTGATATTAACAAACTGATCCGCGATATGTCCGTAGTTTTCTGTGTGATATTAACAAGCTGATCCGCGTTATGTCCGTAGTTTTCT